TAAACCAGCCTAGTGCAACTACCCCAATTTCTACAAACTGCTCAAGCCTTTCCAAAATAACATTATGATGAACTGTATCAAATTTAGCACTGAGATCTAAGAGGACAAGTACATACTGTATACAAGACACTGCATGAAAAGTGGGATTTTCGTCAATATACGGCACTGTAGATTGTCGTGGAACTTCAGGTTAGCGGCAGTTTACGGCAATTTGCAACCTTCGCCGAAAACTCCCGGAAATTGTCAGAAATTGACGTGGAATTTCTTAGGCAGTGTTCCCCCCATGCCTCCCCCCCATGGAATTCTAGGGGAGGCTTTAACATGTAAATGAACATGCTGTGAGCTATACAAATGCAAACCAGGGTTGCAGGAGGGGGTTTTACCCCCCCTGCAACCCTGGGTAAGAAAATCTCTGATACAAAGAGATCAGGTATAGCCTCTTACATTTTAGCTTGAATTGATCTATTTAATTAAAGTGACAGACAGAGCAATACATTTAGAGCAGTAATTTTTTTTTTTTAAATTTGCATTTAAGATAAAAAATAAAATGTTGTCTGTCAATATGCTCAATTCACAATTACTTAAGTGGAAAAGTTTCAAGAAATGATTCTGAGATGATTCACTTTATAACATGGCGCATTATCCTGTTGGAAGTAGCCATCAGAAGATTGGTACACTGTGGTCATAAGGACATAGGTCAGCATGCTAAATTGGTTTTAAGTGGCCCAAAGTGTGGCAATAAATATCCCCCAAATAGATGGTAGAAATAGATCAGGCTCAGTATAGCCTAATTATAGACTCTTACATTTTAGCTTGAATTGATTTATTTAATTAAAGTACGCTAGATTACTGTGTATGCAAATGTTATGTAAAAGAAAATACACAAAATAATTTACTTCAAAAATTAGTTTTAATCAGAATCAGTTGGCTGTAATGGTTAATTTTTTTTTTTTGATTTCCACTTTTTTTTTTTTTTTGTTAATTGAATATATAAGAAAACAATAACAATCTCAAATAACAAGTCAATAACAAATATTGCAATACAAGAAGAAATATCACAACTCCTGCTTTTGAAAAATAAAATTAAATGCACAGGCTGGAACAAAGTATAAAATAAAATAAATAAAAATAAATAAAATAATAATAGTAGTTAAAGTAAATTAATCAGTGGGGACTACCAACTGAAATTCTTCAATTAACTCAAACAATTTAATTGCATTTAAATTCTGCATCTTTCTCAGACATCTTTTGAAAAGGGAAAGTTCATTTTTGAGAGCAGAGATTGAGAGGGAGCATTTTGCATAGCGACATTTATGGATATAATACTTTGTTACAATTATTAGAATATTGATTAAAAATTCCATTTTTTTTTTCTTTAATGGATAAACCGAATTGAATGTTTTGCCAGGAAATAAAATCTAAATTTATTGTTTTAGAAGACAGAAAGGTTCGAAGTTGATCCCATAAGTTTAATACTTCTTTACATTCATAAAAAAGATGTTTAGTTGTTTCCAATTGAGTTGTACAAAAGCCACAATTCTCAACATTAAACTTAAATCTCTCTCTTAAAAACTCATTTGAAGGATATATGTTATTTATTATTTTAAATTGTAATTCTTTATATTTAGGAGGAATTGGGAATTTCAAATAATTTGTCCTAATTTTGACTATCATAGATTTCTTAAAATTTTGTAAGAGAGCTGTGCTTTTTGTTCTTCCTGGGTACATATTATTTATAGAATATTCATTCAAAAACTTGTTGTTGCATTTATTATCTCTAATGTCCACCTGCTCAAATTCAATCTTATGGAGACAAACAATTGCAATTGCAAACAATTTATAGGAGCGACACGAGCTCTTCTCGCGAGTCCTTCCGTATAACAATGACGTCGTATGTGATTGGAGGAGCCTGATGAGCCTTCGGCCCCATCGTCCAATCACGTGTGAGCTTTTGTGCACTACGACTTCTCGCGAGACCAGCATATTAGCAGACATGTTTGTGTTACTATACTCAGAAGAGCTTCATCTCCAGTTACCGTGTTTGTATTTTGTTGTTACGTGAACAATGGCTGCACGACGTCTCGCGTTCAACTCGCCTCCAACTGCTCTTAGTCCACAACTTTCGGCCAGCCCGCAGACTGACGAGAAGAAACTGCTGATTGCTATCAGCGGACTGTCTCGTCAGCTTGCTCAACATACTGCCGACATGAATGAGCGCTGGAGAATTCGATGCACTCCAGGTTGTAGTCCTTAGAGGACAAGATGGCGGCTCTGCAGTCGACCAACTTTGCGGGATATACGAACTCGAGGAAGAGAAGACGGGTGCACAACGCCACGCTAGTGGTAAATATAAGTTCGATTACTGGTAGCTATGCTAAAAGCAGCCTAGCTTAGCTAGGCAAGCTAAAGACAACCTAGCCTAGCTAGGTAAGCTAAAAGCAGCCTAGCCTAAAGCTTTATTAAAGTGTATTTTTTGTGATTCACAGGAAGCATTATGCCGTCTTAACAACTCGGAGACTAATTGCAGGCGCTATGAACCGGAGCAGGGGTAAGGTTTAAAGAATATGCTTTCATTCTGCGGTAAAAGGACATGGATACGGATAAATACCGACCATAGCTGTACTTTTTTTTTTCACAGACTACAGTCGCCTCACAATGAGGCGGTGACCTCCTATTTGCTCGGATTTGCACGATGTTGATAAAGACGACATTGTGTGTAAGTGACTTGTTTTAATGTTTTCTCCTTCCTTGTTACTGTGACTTGCGTTTGATTTTTTTTTTTTTTAATTCATACCTCTCTCATTTAATTGTTTTCCAGCTGCCTGTAAGACGTATTATGAGACGGTATGCAGGAGCTTCAGATACACGCTGCTGGCCAGCACGCTGCGTGCGGAGGCTGCCAGGCTATCTGCTCGGAGTCGGGCCAGAAGAAAGAGGGTAAGACTTTATTTGGTGACTATTTTTCAGGTGCATTGATAGATGTGTTGTGTCCGTATGCAGTGCGCTGATTCATAGTTTTTTTTTTTTCAGCTGCTGAAGGCGAGGCAGAGTGTGCTGGCAGATGAGGAAGTGGAACTCTGTAAGTCCGCCACCGTCGACCTCATGTCCGACGAAGAAGATGGCGGCGTCGTCGGCGGTGTCTCTGGATGGATTGTACGGTCGCCGCCATTTCGTAGGCCGGATCTCACTGAACTCTGTGTTAAGCTGCAGTCCCGGTTAGAAGCGATGCCGAAGTACAGGGCCACGCACAGTATGCGTCTGCACATCGGACCTGCCTCGGAGGGAATGCTGCCAGTTACCTCCAACCCCGATGAAGCAAACGGACCGTTCACGGAGTTTTAATTTTTAGAAACGCATGTGTTTGGATACGCGTTGTATATAGTTGTGTGTGTTTCAATAAAGCTCTTTCTTTGCATAAACAGCTTCCTGGCAAATGTTCATTTCCTGTATAAATTCATTCATGTCCTTGATGGTAGCATAATAATTGTGTAGTAGTGTAGGATAACATAAATACACAGCATATGAATGAATGAATAAATATATGAATGAATAAATATATGAATATATATATATATGAATGAATAAATATATATATATATATATGAATAAATATATATATGTAAATATATATATATATATATATATATATGCCAACCATTCACGAGCGACTTTACTTGTTTAAAAAGAAGTGGTTTCGTCCAATACTCAGTAAGAAAATTAAAGCCTGGCGTGGCCACGTGTGGTTTTGCTGCCAATCACGAGCGATTTCATTTGTTTGAGAATAGTGGTTTCAGCCAATACTGAGAAGGTTATTCAAGCCAGACCTGGCCAGCCGCGCGGGTTTGCTGCATTCATATGCTAATTAGGGCCATTAGTACAGCTGATCGCTCTCCACATACGTCACGGTACGTTTTCGACAATTTGTGGCACGACAAACGCGGACAAGCACGGGTTGCAAATTGTCGGAAACTGACGAAAATCAGGCAGATCTGCGGGAGTTTACGGGGGTTTACGGGGACGAAAATCTCACTTTTCATGCAGTGAGACCATTATCTGAGGCCATTACAATATCATTAGTGAGTTTCATCAGAGCTGTTTTAGTGCGGAGATGAGCTTTAAAACCACATTGAAACAGTTAAAAAAGTTAATTATGGCGTAAATGGTCACACACATATTTAGCAACAATTTTGTAAAGAATTTTAGATAAGAAAGGAAGATTGAGATATAGGTCTATATTTGACCAAATCACCTGGGTCAAAAGACTGTTAAGTAAAGGTTTAGTTACAGCAACCTTGAAAAGATTTGATGGATGGATCCAATTTCCTACAATTTCATGTGAAACATTGCAGAAAGCTTGACAGCAAAGACAGACCACACTGGCAAAATTTGTGATTAAAAAATGTATATATTGTGCATTCCGTGATATAATTTCTGTGATTTTTTTTCGGTAAATCAAGTTTTGATGAACTAAAAGTTCTTCTGATTTTGTAAATATTTAACTTAATTTTAAAAAGAGCCGGTTATCCTGAGACCAAAGACCTGATAAGTTTATCCCTAAAAGACCTGACACCATCATGAGATCTGACAATGTTTCTGCCTGAGACCTGAGGATGTGCTAAAATGTACACTGTACATTTGCATTAAATAGAAAAAAAGCTATTTAACAGCTTCCAAATCTAATGACTATTACATGCCAAAGTGCTAGGTACTCTTTAATAACACTTTTTAAAAGAACATATAGTAAACTACATAAACAGTTCTCCTATGTATTATTTAAAAGATGTATGCATACTTGTTTGATCCACTGTACGTTATTTTAAACAGGGCAGTAATGAAAAAGTTGTATTTCTAAATGTGCTGCTTTTGCAAAAGTGAAATTATGCAGCTGAACTCTTCATGTTTGCAATGCTTTTGAAAGATCTTACTTCTGCTCTGTCAATCACAGAGTGGAAATACCTCATTGCAACACCAACCCAAGTAGGTATAAATAGCAGCCCTTTTCTCACATTCAGACATCAAAATCTAAGCAACCTCACTTGATTTTGAAGCTCCAGCTGGACCAACACTCCCAAAATGAAGGCTTTCACTCTTGCGGTTGCTGTGGCCATCATGGTGACTGTCATCGGGATCCATGAGGGATCCGCTGACCTGATCATTGAAGTAAGACCATTAAAACTTTAATTTTTAAGTTTATAATAGCTATAATATTTTCATGCTTGCTCTAAAATATAAAACATCTTTTACAGGGTGCTGAACTGATGGATGGACTGGCCAATGGCAGCCCAATCGCTGAAGGTGAAGACATGCCAGCGGACTCCTGGAAGGTCAGTCAAGTTAATAAATAAACAACATCTATATATCTATAAATCATATATTTCTGGATATTTTTCTGCTATATTGCAGGTGGGGTATATTTTGTCAAACAGAATGTGGAATGAAAAGTTTCTTAAATTCTAGCCGTGAAACATTCTGTATCTGAAATGACACAAAATATTTTTATTTCTTCAGATGCCATATGAGAGAGCTCAGGCACAACGCCGTCGCTGCCGATTGTGCTGTCGTTGCTGCCCTGGAATGAGAGGCTGTGGCATCTGCTGCAGATTCTAAAAAAAAAAGTCTGAAAACAGCAAGAAGATACATCAACTACAGGAACAAAATACAGAAATTCTTAACATTTGGTTATTTTTAAATGTAGTTGAATATATCATTGCTTTTTAAGGATCGAAGTTGTTTTGACGCTTTCAGTGTAATGCTTATGTATTTTGTTTTACTTTGGCATTCAAATTATTTGCAAATATCCAAAAAGTACACACCAAAAGGTGTTACCAGAGTAAACTGTATTGTTAATGCTTTAAAAGTATAACAATGATGTTTGGACTCAGTGTTTGGATAATAAATGTGTTAACTTGATCCAAGGAATAACTTTTGTTGTCATAATAAATCATACCCACCAATTAAGATTCATGTGAACTTTGAGTTTTGCTTTGATAATAGTTTGCTTTGAAATAATGTTTGCTTTGATAATAGTTTGCATAAAACAACAACAGTTTGTAAAGATTATATTGAGGCTTGCTATTCACAATATATTATACAGCAATGAGGCATAAGCAAGGAATACTGTTAAATAAATGGGAGAAGAAGGGGAAGTAATGGAGGAGGATAAATACCTTGGTGTTTACCTGGACAACAAACTTCAGTGGAGACGAAACTGTTAAACCGTTCACAAAAAAGGACAAAGCAGACAGGAAGCTTAGTTACTTTAGCCTTTGCAACAAGGTGCTGCATATCCTGTCTGTTGCAGAGTGAAATCTCCTTTACCATCATCTACTAGGGTAACAGCATCAGTGCAAAGGACAGAGAAATTCAACAAGCTAATAAAGAAAGCTCTTTTCTAAGAAATCCTCTAGGACCTCATAAGATGATTTTACAAAGAACAATTCCTCATGAAATGAAGAGCAATTATAGACAACAGCGAGCGACTTCTTCAGAAGATTGTTAAACACATTGTTTTCAATATTAGGCTTCTCTAGATCTAGTGCAAGACAGACTGCTACCAGAGATACTTCCTATTCACATCTACAACAACTCGCGAAAAGAAAGTCAGATGAGATTCTTCAACATTAATATTTGATTCATACATACATTATTTTTTGATTTAATTGAATTTCGAGTGGCAAAAACCATGCCAGCCTTGGTCGTTACAGAATTTCCTCTAAATTTTAGTTGTAATATTGAAGTTTCACTACTTTGCACCCAAGGAGATGTGAAGCCGTACATTTAGGTTCATAGACTGTTCACACTGGGGTGTGATAATGGACATTAAAACCAAGGAAGAAAAAACTTTTTAAAATAATCTAATCATGCATAAAGACCCACATTGACAGCTGTATGCCGAATGGTGAGGTCAGAGTTAACTGTGAACTGTTTCAACATTTATGAGAACATTTCTCTTTCCACACCTAAAATCACACATTATTGATTGAAAATTAAGGTTTTTGCTTTAGAAAATTGGCCTGCATGGTGGAGCAATTTGTGACGCTTGCAGCACTCTTGCCAAAAAAGATTCTGCACTGCTGAAAACTGAAATCTAAACTTTCTGAAATCTAAAATAAGAAAAAGTAATTGCATTGTCTTATTTAAAATGCATTCTAGCTAATTATTTCAAGAATAAAAATACTGATTCCTTTGGCAAATCATATTATATTTCTTCTCGAATTAAGGGTAAATACACTTAATTTAAGACAGCTTTAGACCTGAGTCCCCCGCCCAAGAAGTAATCAAGTTTTTTATAGCTTCTGTTTTGATGTTTGATGTTGACATAAAAAGGCTAAGCGTAAAGAAAACTGAGATTATTCGCATATTAAGGTTATTTTCGACTTTGATCGGTATTATTAATAATTTTTTGTGTCTGTATTTTATTTGCACATTGAGTTGGTGTCTAATAACGAGTTTATAAGTGTTTGACAGTAAAGTCCACACATTTCTGTTAAAGTCATGTCTATTTAATGCAAAAAAGAATTTGGCTGCCATAGGTGACAAGTTCAAAGCTTTGTCAACCATCCATTGAGGTGCAATTTACATACATTAAAAGGAAATGTATGTTTTGTGAACAAAATATGAAGATGATAAAAATTATGGAATTCATTTGTTTCATAAATGCAAACAGTAATGCAGTATTTTTTTTTACCGTTAAGTTTTGCTAAATATAAGCTTCATGACTTTAAATTTAGGGGAACGTTGACTACATTGCATCTAGTGAAAAAGTGAAAACCCTTTGGGAAACTCCTCCAACTCCCATTGTCATTGTGACACAGCACACACAAGTGAATGCCTCACCCGTGCAAGGGGGCAGCCCTCAATGGCGCCCCAAGGGAGCAGTGTGGCAGGACGGTACCATGCTCAGGGTACCTCAGTCATGGGGGAGTGCGCTGGTTAATTACTCCCCCCACCAACCTGGCGGGTCGGGAGTCGAACCAGTAACCTTTGGGATCCAAGTCTGACACCCTAACCGCTCACCCACGACGTAAAATTCAACTGTCCTAGTACTGGTTCTCGTTTCCATCCTTGAGCAAAATCAATAGCAGGCACGGCTGTAACAAAACTCTGGAATGGATTTCATTACAAAAATATAAAATGTGTAAAAAAATGAAGAAAACCCCCAAACCATGACGTATATATTAAAAGTATAGGTAGAACAAGAATCAACAGATTTAGAAAACATAATAGAAAAAGGATTTTTGTTTTTCAAAAAATTTGTGTTTAAAATCCCTGAAGGGTTGTCTCCACTGGAGCATGTTTCAAATACTGGTTGTTTACATATCACAATCCTATGTAAACTTAAAGTTAAGGTTACAATATAAATGCCCCTTATCTTATCTGCACATACAAAACTTCGCTGACATTTTACAAAGCCTTGCAAGGACAATGTTTTATAATATGAGGAACCCAGATACAGAAGTTATATTAGGTTAAAAAGAATGCTGGCAATTATCATAAGTGTAGAAAAATCCTTATTTTTAGCAAGCATTCAATTCATAATAAAAAACAGATTAACTAAACATAACAGTTGTAATGGCCAGGCCAGTGTCTCAATCTAAACGTCAATAAAACTCTGTGGTTTCACCTTAAGAGGCAATAGGGCAAGAGATGTCCCCACAGTCTAACAGCTTTAGAAAGGTTTTGCAAAGTAGAGTTGGCTAATAAGCCTGCTGAATTCCTTCAAAGGAGACTGAATGTTGTAACTCTATATAAAAGTGCTTGAGTGAGGTTTTCGTTGTTTTGTGTTTTCATGGTTGTGCTTATGAAACCAACTGATTGACCTGAATGACACAATGATACCTGACATTTTAGCACATGCAATGTTGTTGTCTTCCAAATTTCTAATCTAAATAATAAATCTATTTCCGATAAGTTGTGACTATTTTTGCAAATTCTGAAAAAAACCTGATCCTTCTGATGAACTGATTTATCATAACAGACTATTCTTCCTAGGGTGTATTAAAAATAACTTTCATTCACTTAAGCACTAAACATACAACAGCATAAACTTAAACTTCAACTCAATAAAACAAACTGGGTTATATACGGTAAGTCCAGAGAATTTGTTTTTTATTGTATGCGGCCAAACATAGCTCGTCATACTTTTAAACAGTTGAATGATCTAAAGCCTTATTTTTTAGACCTACATAAGAAAACCTGAGCTCACAACAGTAAATCTCCCATAATGGTTAAATTAATACTTCATAAAATCTCTATAAAGGAATAAAACATTTTTGCAAGACTTTTTATTGCTTTAAGAATGTGGGACTTCTATTACCATGTTAATACATAAACTATGTCTTTAAAATAAAAACGCCAAAATTACATTATTGCTTCAACATTTCTATATATTTTAAATATAATACCGGTACTTTCTTTTATTTTCATTTTTTTTTTCATTTACAATATACTGTAATCCACTTGTGACCAATAAATAAAATCAGGTCTCAGGTCATAGGAATTCTCATAGAAAGAGCCTCTTAAAAGCGAAAATGCTGATATAAGTCCTTCTTTTCTGGATTTAAAGGATCGGTCCATATATCCTTCCTGGCCTATTATCTATGACTCATTGCAGAAAGCATAGACAGCTTTAATGAATTCAGCTAATATCCTTTCTGTGACATACACTTTGTGTTTTAGCTGAAAATGTTGCTTAATTAAAATGAAAATTCTGTTATTTTTTTCAAAATGTAACTCAATTTCCTGACCAATAAAATTTGATAAGTTTAATTATAAAACCCTGAGAAGTGATAGGTTTATTCCTGACACCATTTCACCTGAGAACTCACAATTTTCTACTTCAGACCAGAGACCTGGCAAATGAAGCTTAAGAGAAAATCCGATCTAAAGGACTCTTCTCAGCCTCACCTGGGGCACCTGCTGATGTCCCACGTCAAGCTTCAGCCAGTTAATATTGAGACCACACCTCCTCTGAAGCCAATCGTCTTTCAAGATCCCCTTATTTTAGCTTTAAGCCTAGCTTCACCCTAACTTTCACCCACCTCGACCTCATCTCCTCCATCGCTGTCAGGCTTTTCTCAGTCCCGCTCACCCTCTGGTTACGTCCACCACCAGGTTACTCATCCAAGCGAATGTTGATTCACAGCATCAAAGTCTTCTACCAGGGCCAGAGTTCCAAAGAGTTGTTTTTGAGATATTTTACAACCCTTTTTTGCTTCTTTAAAAACAAAAAATAAAATAATATCTTAAACTACATAAACTGTACTCTAGGCATTATTTTAACCGGTGTATGCATTTTTGTTTTAATCCATTGCATGCTACTGTAAAGAGGGTATTAAGAAAAAAGTTGGATTGCCAAATGTGCTACTTTTGCAAAAGTGAAATTATGCAGCTGAACTCTTCATGTTTGCAATGCTTTTGAAAGATCTTACTTCTGCTCTGTCAATCAGAGTGGAAATACCTCATTGCAACACCAACCAAAGTAATTATAAATACCGGCCCTTTTCTTACATTCAGACATCAAAATCTAAGCATTTCACTTGATTTTAAAGCTCCAGCTGGACCAACACTCCCAAAATGAAGGCTTTCACTCTTGCGGTTGCCGCGGCCATCATGGTGACTGTCATCGCGATCCAGGAGGGATCCGCTGACATGATCATTGAAGTAAGAGCATTGAAACTTTAATTTTAAGTTCATATTAGTCACAATATTAGCATACGTGGTCTAAATTAACATCTTTTACAGGGTGCTGAACTGATGAATGGACGGGCCAATGGCAGCCCAATCGCTGAAGGTGAAGACATGCCAGCGGACTCCTGGAAGGTCAGTCAAGTGAATAAATAAAACACTATGCATATATAGAAATATTTTTGAATATTTTGTGGTTATATAGTAGGTGGGGTATACTTTATCAATTACAACGTGGAATTAAAGATTACTGAATAAATTTCAGTGTTACAGCATTTCAAATTTGAAATTAAACAATTTTTTTTATTTACAGATGCCATATGAGAGAGCTATGCTGCGCCGGCGTCGCTGTCGTTTCTGCTGCGGTTGCTGCCCTGGAATGAGAGGCTGTGGCATCTGCTGCAGATTCTAGAAAAGGCCTAAAAACAGCATGAAGATAAATGAACTACAGGGGAAAAATGCAGTTCAATAAATAATTGCTTTTTATGGATCTAAGCAGTTTTGATGTTTTCATTGTAACAATGTGGATGGTGCTTTACTATGGCATCCAAATTATTTGACAAATAATCAAAAATAGGTTTTACCATACTAAAAAATTGTTGTTAATGCTTTATGAGTATAACTTTGATGTTTAGACTCAGTGTTTGGATCACTTGATCAGAGGTGTAATTTTTGGTGTCATGATAAATCTTACCCCTCAATAAATATTCTTGAAAACTTCATGACTTATGTGTTTGCTTGTAGTTTGATTTCAATTTACAAAAACACAGTTTGTAAAGAGTTAAAAGATTATGCTACATGGAGATGTAAACAAGGGGGAAAAAAGTAATAAGGACAACAACAAAGGGTTGGAAATTATGTCTTTGTAACTAAATTCTATAATCTCAATTCATCCATCTATTTTCCATCACACTTTCCATCCCAAGCGGTGTCGCGAGGGGTACTGGTGCCTATCTCCAGCAGTAAGACCCCGGGCAAGGAATCGAACCTGGAACCGTCTCGCTGCAGGGCAGCAGTGCTACCCACTGCGTCACTGAGCAGCCTAATCTAAAAAAATAAACTGTTCTATTTTAATGGCATTTTGTACAAATGACTAATACAAAAAGCACACAAATACAAAGTGAAAAACGATAAAAGGAGATTTTGCAAAAGTACTCAGTTTCACAACCACAAACCACAAACATACCGCTCCCCAGTGGTGTCAAAGGTACACACATTTTTTACTTAAGTAGAAGTATAGTTACTGCAGTTTAAAAAAAACACTCTGGTAAAAGTTGAAGTATCAACTTGACCTCTTTACTCAAGTAAAAGTGAAAAAGTATGTGCTCCAAAAACGACTTAAAGTATAAAAGTATAAAGTAACCTTTAAAAAAAAAAAGTGCCAGATGCCACTATATGAATTGAAAGCTCAATTTTATTTCGAAAAATTCTTTGAGATAGGGCCAAGGATGAGGGAGGTCTTGTTGGTCTCCGTCTCCATCTCCCGATACGCTCTTGCCTTTGTCCAACCTTTCATTTCAACATCTTTTTCTGAATCTGACGTTGTAGCATGGCATACACAATTCATGTTTGCAGTTTGAAGAACACCTGCTTGCTTCTGATGATTTCCTTTGGCTAACCAATGAGTGTTTGCGTTCTATGACTCATCCAGTAGTTACACTTGTTTTCATTAGATGTGGATGGAGCCAATGATCTGCATTGGATGGCGCACATGACGAGAAATAAATATTTATAAACAAACTGAAGCCAAGAGTAACATGTAACGTTTGTTTTAAAAATGTAAGGAATAAAAAGTACAGAGACGTTTGAAAATGTAATGAGTAGAAGTCAAAAATAGGAGGAAAAATAAGTAATGGAGTAAAGTATACCTAAAAAGTGTACTTGGTGGCTCCCATGGTAAAGAAAGTTGATGGCAGTATCATGCTTTGGGAGTTGTTTGAAAGATGGGTGAAGCAAAATATTTGGTAAATAATGGAATAAATTTGTAACTGAGATATATTTTCCTCTAAACTAAAACAAATTTAACATACACTATATTGCCAAAAGTATTTGCTCACCCATCCAAATTATTGGAATCAGGTGTTCCAATCACTTCCATGGCCACAGGTGTATAAATTCAAGCACCTAGGCATGCAGACTGTTTTTACAAACATTTGTAAAAGAATGGGTCGCTCTCAGGAGCTCAGTGAATTCCAGCGTGGAACTGTGATAGGATGCCACCTGTGCAACAAATCCAGTCGTGAAATTTCCTCGCTCCTAAATATTCCACAGTCAACTGTCAGCTGTATTATAAGAAAATGGAAGTGTTTGGGAACGACAGCAACTCAGCCACGAAGAGGTAGGCCACGTAAACTGACGGAGCGGGGTCAGCGGATGCTGACGCGCATAGTGCGAAGAGGTCGCCAACTTTCTGCAGAGTCAATCACTACAGACCTCCAAACTTCATGTGGCCTTCAGATTAGCTCAAGAACAGTGCGCAGAGAGCTTCATGGAATGGGTTTCCATGGTCGAGCAGCTGCATCCAAGCCATACATCACCAAGTGCAATGCAAAGCGTCGGATGCGGTGGTGTAAAGCACGCCGCCACTGGACTCTAGAGCAGTGGAGACGCGTTCTCTGGAGTGACGAATCGCGCTTCTCCATCTGGCAATCTGATGGACGGGTCTGGGTTTGGCGGTTGCCAGGAGAACGGTACTTGTCTGACTGCATTGTGCCAAGTGTAAAGTTTGGTGGAGGGGGGATTATGGTGTGAGGTTGTTTTTCAGGAGCTGGGCTTGGCCCCTTAGTTCCAGTGAAAGGAACTCTGAATGCTTCAGCATACCAAGACATTTTGGACAATTCCATGCTCCCAACTTTGTGGGAACAGTTTGGAGCTGGCCCCTTCCTCTTCCAACATGACTGTGCACCAGTGCACAAAGCAAGGTCCATAAAGACATGGATGACAGAGTCTGGTGTGGATGAACTTGACTGGCCTGCACAGAGTCCTGACCTCAACCCGATAGAACACCTTTGGGATGAATTAGAGCGGAGACTGAGAGCCAGGCCTTCTCGTCCAACATCAGTGTGCGACCTCACAAATGCGCTTCTGGAAGAATGGTCAAAAATTCCCATAAACACACTCCTAAACCTTGTGGACAGCCTTCCCAGAAGAGTTGAAGCTGTTCTAGCTGCAAAGGGTGGACCGACGTCATATTGAACCCTATGGATTAGGAACGGGATGTCACTTAAGCTCATATGTGAGTCAAGGCAGGTGAGCAAATACTTTTGGCAATATAGTGTATGTCCAAAATTACAAAGGAATATTTGAGATAACAAGAAATGCATTTTTTAGAATAGCCCATCTAAAGTCCAACCTCAAATATAATTGACATTTTGGGTCAATATTTGAAAATATGTGGATGTTACATCCCTATGGTCAAGAAGTATGGTCAAAAGTCTTTAAATGAGCAATGTTTATAGAAATATACTCTCAAAAATCTTAAACTGTGATTCAGATGAAAAAAAGAGGGTCTAAAAAAATGCAAAGGAAGCTTCATTTTTTTTTGGTATTTTATGAGAAAAAATATTTATAATCTTCTATAACTTCTCAGTTTTGCACTTCATTGTGCTTATTAAATATGTTCTCAGTAAAATGCATTATAATTTTCAGTTGCCCACCTGACAAAAGGTAAAAAAAAAATTAAAAAAAAAAGAAAAAACTTCAGGGGGTATAACTGCTTTCTCAACCCAATGTGTATCCTCCAATAAGGAAACCAGAGACTAAGGCCATTTTTTTCTTGAAGATAAAAGCAAAACCAAGTTTTCGCTCTTGTTAAATTATTTAATTGCCACAGAAAAGCAGTTCCCCCTGACTCCATGCCGAGGACATGATCAGCTCTTAATAAAACCCCTGCACGTCATAATAAGCCCCACTTTGTTTCTAATACATCCAAGTAAAAACATTCTGATGTTACAAAACTGTCAGGGTATTTGTGAACATGTTTAAAATTTGCATAGTTAAATTACTGTTGATATGTTTCTGTAGCAAACAATTAGAGAGAAAAGATTAATTCTGTAGAAATTCCCAGTTCATCACAAGGCAAAAAATAAATAAATAAATCATCCAAACAGTACAGATCCTAAAAGGTCAGAGTAATTTACAGAGGCCACTTAACCAGCAAGCCTGTTTTGGGAGAAAGAACAAACATGAAGAACATACAAACTTCACACAGAATGGTACCAGTCAGGATTCAAACCCAGGACCTGCTGCGAGACCACAGTGTTGATAATAGCTAAATAAAATTATTGGAAAAATGAATATAATTTGGATGGTGAAACTAGAAATCAGGCAAGAGATTAAAATATTGATCAATTCTATTAATAACCAGGATCTTACTTCCAGCAATATATGAATCAATAAGTAAGGTATGCATACTGAGGTATGCAATGTTATACCTCAGCCCATACCTGAGTATACCTCAGTTTAGGATAATTTTTATGATTAGGGCATTGAAAGGGTTGAAAATACTGAAAAATCAATGGAGGTCAATGGGAGTCAACACAGAGCCCTCACTACATACAGTATAGAAAGACCAGAGTGGGTGTGTTTGATTTTGTAAATGTGTGTATAATCCTGATTCTTAAAAAATAATGGTGACCAGTTTCACTTTTTAACCTTTAGAGTGAGGACATTTTTACAAAAGGAGGACATTTTGGCTGGTCGTCATGAGGTTGTGTGTGTGTGTAACCGGCCTCTGCGTTGTGTAATAATGCCTCGTTCAATCACTCCAAGTCAGCCAATAAATTGCGTGTTTATTCTGAAAATAGTGAAACAAAACTGTTCAGCAGCAAATAAAAACATCCAGCCGACATCAAGCCACCTTCCTCCATTGCAGTAACGAACATTGTCGGCATCACTACATATTTAACATCAGATATTATTAGAAATAACCTCATTAAATACTTCAAATGAGGACGAAAGAGATAAAAAAAATTACAAAACACATCACGAACAAACCTCCACGATGAATATCTAACATGGATAAAAATGTGTTAATTGTGAAAACAAAAATAAATATATATATATAGGTAGGCTGTGGCGTTGCAACGATGCTCAATTGGTACCAAGGGGCCCAAAGAGTGTCAAGAAAATATTCCCCACACCATGACACCACCACCACCAGCCTGAACCGTTGATACAAGGCAGGATGGATCCATGCTTTCATGTTGTAGACGCCAAATTCTGACCCTACCATCCGAATGTCGCAGCAGAAATCGAGACTCATCAGACCAGGCAACGTTTTTCCAATCTTCTATTGTCCAATTTCGATGAGCTTGTGCAAATTGTAGCCTCAGTTTCCTGTTCTTAGCTGAAAGGAGTGGCACCCGGTGAGGTCTTCTGCTGCTGTAGCCCATCTGCCTCAAAGTTCGACGTACTGTGCGTTCAGAGATGCTCTTCTGCCCACCTTGGTTGGAACGGGTGGTTATTTGAGTCACTGTTGCCCTTCTATCAGCTCG